CAATAATCTTCCAAATCACTAATGCCAGTACTGATTTATGACTAACAGAAGATTTAGAGAAGTTGTTTTTTTCTTAGCATACATTTCTCGTGAGATTATAAAAATCAATACAATCTTTTTGGGAAAGCAATTTGGTTACATGTATCAAATACATAAAACTGCTTAAGACCTGGTAATTTCCTTTTTGGAAAACTTCTCCCTAACAGCATCTACTATATCCCTAGCAGCAGCTTTTATGTAGCACTTTCTATGTGCCAGGAATTATCCAACAACTCCAGGTCACATTGCTACAGAGTAGAGGATCTAGAATTTGCACTTGGGCCCTGTGGTTCCAAAGTCTGTGTTCTTCTGCCGTCTTAGCTTTGAAGAGGTCTACTGTGGCACTATTTGTAACAGGAAAAGTTTAGAAACAAACTAAATGTCCATCAGTGGGGTAGAAGTTAAATAAACACTAGGATATCCATTGATAGGACACAAAGCAGAGCATTAAAATCAACTTTTAGAAATAACATGTTTGCATGCACAAACAAGATAATTAGCTTAGTGTGAGGGAGAAAGGCACAGAACAGTACACATAGTGATTTTAGTCTACTAAATGTTTTCTTTGTATGGTGAGATTTTAATTTTCTTCTTGGTGCTTTGCTGTACCTTCCAAATTTTCTAAATGAACTTAGCTTCCTTTTGTACTCAGAAAAAAGTTACTAACAAATTTCTCTCTAGGTCAGCATGGCTCAATCAACATATAACACGAGTCATATAATTTAAAATATTCTAGTAACCATAACCACATTAACAGAAGTAAAAAGCAGGTGAAATTTTAAAAATATTTTTAACCTATAGTTCTAAATTATTTCAACAGGTGATCAACATAAAAACATTATTTTACTTTTTTTGTATTAAGTCTACAAAATCACTTAGCACATCTCAATTCTGTCTAGTCACATTCCAACTGCTCAATAACCAGGTGATTAATGACTACTGTAATGAACAACACAGCCATAGATCCTTGGCAGAAGCTATACTTTCAAATCACATGTGCCCAAACCATGACTCTAGAAAACCCAATCTCCACGTAACCATCTACATCCGTGTCAAACTGCCTCTTTAAGGGGCAAAGAGATGGGCTTGGGAGATACATTGATCTGCATTTGAATCCTCTAACACTTACTAACTTGTGTGATCTAATGTATTAAAACATATAATATGGAAGCACTTGATAACAGATTTTTATGATCTACTCCTTGCCCTTTGCAACCTTTTTTATTCAGATAAAGTAAAGGTTAGACTAAGCAGAAGGGAAGATTCTTAAAATGGAGATGGTAGAAAAATCTCATTTTAAATGGTCCTAAAACTAGAAAAAGGAATACTCATTCACTGTTGGGAAGGCAGACTGGTGCAGTCACTCTGGAAAACAGTATGGAGGGTCCACAAAAAAGTTAAAAATAGAACTACCCTACCATCCAGTAATTGCCCATTGGGTATTTATCCAAAGAATACAAAAACACTAATTCAAAGGTATACATGTACCCCTATGTTTATAGCAGCATGATTCACAATAGCCAAGATATGGAAGCAGCCAAGTGTCCACTGATTGATGACCGGATAACGATGTGAACACACACACACACAAACACATACAATAGATTATTCAGCCATAAAAAATAATGAAATCGTGCCACTTACAAGGACATGGGTGGAGCTAGAGTATAATAGTAAGCAAAATGTCAGTTGGAGACAAATACCCATTTCACTCATATGTGGAATTTAAGAAACAAAACAATGAACAAAGGAAAAAGAGAGACAAAATAAAGAAACAGACTCAATTATAGAAAACAAACTGATAGTTACCAGAGGGGAAGGGAGGGAAGTGCAGGATGGGTGAAATGGATTGATGGGGATTAAGGAGTACACTTGTACAGAGCACTGGGTGATGTATGAAAGTGATGATTCACTATATTGTACATGTGAAACTAATATAACACTGTATGTTAACTGGAATTAAAACTTAAAAAGCCAAAAAAAAAAAAAAGTCCTAGAACTAATTTTGGGGGATGTGGAGAGGCTCGGGGAAATCCACAATAAATATATTCGTCCTTTAAAGGGGGCTACTTAATGGCAGGCAACGAATGGCACACAACTTTGCTTGCTTCACATGGCTTTCACTCAGCAAACATTCAATTCATTAACAAACAAAATATAAATTACTGAATATGTGCCAGCATCATACTAGACAGAGGGGGTTACGAGTGGAAAAAAAGGGGGGGTATATTCGCTTAAATGGACGAATGAATAAACCAATGAATATTGTACCTTTTCTAATTTTTCTCAACTCAGTTGTCAGTTTGAGTTGCTGCTCTTGTTTCACCTAAGATTTTACTAGGTCATTATGTAATGGGGTTTCCCCAAAAGCTCCAAATGAAATATGGTCAGTCTACTATGGCTGAATCTGGGTGAAGGGTAAATGTGGGCTCAACTTTTGTGTGGATTTCAAGCATTTCAAAATAAAAAAACTGAAAAGAAAAATCACCAGTTACAACGGAAGGTAATCATCATGACATGTATCAATGCTTTTAAAGCATCATTGTTTATAATAGATCATCAGAACCATATAGATGCCCCCAAATGGTGAATGACTAAGACAATTCCCATAACCAAGAGGATAAAATACTATATAGCAACCAATTTACATCTGCAGACTTTGTCAATTCATAGAAATATGTAATGAAATAATGTGAATTGAGGAAAAAGGCAGAATAGGATCCATGATTACAATAACAAAAATCCACGTGATGTGCATTTACAAAAACTAAAAATGTACTTGACTGGGTAGGAATATTACTTCCTCTTCTAGGTAGATTGCCCAGGTTCATAATAAAAAAAAATAACAAATATGGTAAAGGCTGTTTGCTAAGCAAACGTATCCTACACCAGAGGGTGGGACAGCCAGGGAAAACTGCCTATCTAGTGAAAAGAGCACCAACAAACGAGCACTGGTTTTCAATGGTCATGATAACATGCAGTGATACAGTGTACAGTTTAACCCACCACTTGGAACCTTTTTCCTAATCAGAGTAATTATTCAGAATATATTCAACACAAACATCTGACAACGAGTGTCAGATTTTTACATGATAACTTCTCAGTCCTTTAACAACAAGAGTGCATACAAAGTGGGGGAAAAAAAAAGCCTACTGGCTTTCAATGTTACTGTGGTCTGATATCATGAAAGATGGATCAGAGTAGCTGGTTCACATTAAGAGATTCCCCAATTTTCTTTCACAAGCACTTTGTGTTTGAAAACATAAAAGCTTAGGGCGCCTGGGTGGCTCAGTCGTTGGGCGTCTGCCTTCGGCTCGGGTCATGATCCCAGGGTCTTGGGATCAAGTCCCGCATAGGGCTCCCTGCTCAGCAGGAAGCCTGCTTCTCCCTCTCCCACTCCCCCTGCTTGTGTTCCCTCTCTCGCTGTCTCTCTAAAAAAAAAAAAAAAGAAAGAAAGAAAAAAAAAAAGAAAACATAAAAGCTTGCCAAATCATTTAGTACTTAAAATTAACAACACCCTCATCATCTTGTGGTTTAAATGACTAAACAGTAACTCAAGATATTTGCTTTACTAAAGATCTTTTAAAATTGCTCTTCTCTTGAACTCTAGGGGGAAATGATTTCAAAAGGCTGAACACATATGCTGATTCAAGATGTGATTTCTCACACATCCAACCTCTAATTCGGATTATAGAGCAATATAGAGTAATTCTGGCACCAACTCTTTGGCAATGTTTTTGAAAACAAAGATACCATTAAACACATGACCCAGCATTTTTTATTTTGCATTACATATAAGTAAATTTGTATAGTAGGTCTTCTTTAATATGAAAACCATGACTTTAATTTTTTTTCTTGAAAATGATTGAGAATATGGTAATTAAGAGACACTCCTTGGTTCAAAAGCTCAGAGCTAAAATCTACGTGGAGTGTGAACACACCTTATAAAGAGAGGAGATCCAAACTGCATAAACTTAACAAAGCTTCTGATTTAAGCATTAAATTTTCAGGTAATCCGTTCGGGAGCACCAATATAAAAAGATTAAGAAATAACAATGTTTGATAAAGTATTCGCCTTGTCCCCAAAATATCTACGCCTTTAAGTAGAAGGATCTGAATGCCAATCCTGGTTATAAAATCCACCATCTGGTGATCTTGAGCAAAACACTTAATATCGGATTCAAATTCCCTGTCTCTAAAAATTAGACAATATACAGCTATTTTTTTAATATATAATTTCTAAATTAAATAAAGCAAACGATAAATGTGAAAATGCTAGTCCCAGTCATTGCTAACATATATTTATTATCTAGCAATTGTCTTATTCAAACAGATGATTTTAAAAGAGCCTTTAATCAGTATCAGAGCCACTTTTTGGCACAACTTTAAGCCATAGGGCTAATTACACAGGACACAAATCTTACCAACTGTGCTATTTAACACTAAAACTTATAGAAACGATAGTTCTGCATCACTTTATGTCACAGGGCTAATTATGCACAACAGAAATCTCACCAACAGAACTGAACTATTTTAGCTTAAAGGAGACTTAAAAAAAAGACACTAACAGTCCAAATCATTTAAAGAAGCCAACAAAAAGGGAAAGCTGCTATGGATAAACGGAGACTTTCTCGACATAAGCTTACCTACCAAGAAAAACTAAAAGACACACCTCAAGCAACCAGAGCAAGATGGAAAAAGAATGCCATTAACGCATAGGACTCAATGACACTGAATGACAGCAGAGACGATTACTAAAATTCAGGTCTCCCTACTACCTCCCTGACAAAATAAAACAACACAACACACAAAAGCAGAAAACCACCAACACGCAAGGCACCGGCTTACCCGCGTGGAGCTCCTCCAAGCAGCTCCAAGGAAAGGGGACAGGAAGCTAAGGTATATTTAATGAACGAAGGCGAGGGCTGGGGGTTTGGGAAAGTGCACGAGATGGACCCTACCTTTCACAGACTTCCCAATACTGTGTAAGCGAGTGATAGAACTGTAGTTTTGGGCCACATTCTTCAAAAACGCTTCCATCTCTTCCTGGTGGTGGTAGCCGAAATCCAGCGCAGCTACCGAAGGCAGCAGCAACCCTAGCCACAGGCGGGCGAAGTCCATGTTCTAGAGATGAATACAGATAACAAAGCTGAGAACCGGTAAGAAAAGGGTTGTGGACGTCACTAGCTCGGCTCAGCCCTGCAATGTCAAGTCTCCTGACGCTGCCGCTCCGCGCTTCCAAGAAGGTAAAAGTTGGAAGCAGCACCTTCGGGAGGTGGTGGGAGCGGAGCACGGGCAGCCTCCGGTGCCCTCCATCCCGCCGCCCGCCCCTTCCTCCCACTCTCCTTCCCTCCCTCCTTCTCCTCCGGGAGTCGCCGCGGGCCGGCAGCTGCGGCAGCTGCGAGGAGGTCCGCGCGCCCTCAGCCTCACCCCTGCCCAGGCGCGCACCTCCGCCCGCCGCCTGCCGCCCGCCGGGGCCCGACATTATAGCGGGGCCGGGGGACGGGCGCTCCCGGGCCCCGCCCCCGGCCCTGACTGACGTGCCGCCGGCCCACTCGGGCGCCGTGCGGGCCCCTGCTGGGCGGGGCCGAGCGGCGCGGCCGGGGCGGCTCAGCACCCTTCGCACCTGGGCGAGCCGGAGCCCGCTCGGCGCCAGGTTACCGGGTTGCGCCGGCCCGTGCGGGTGGGCGGCGGAGGGCGGAGGAAAACCGAGTCGCCTGTCGCGGTCCCAGGCTTTGCCGGCGGTCCCAGGCTTTGCCGGCGCCCCCGGCTGGAAGCGTCTCCTCCCCTCGGCCACGGCTCCGGCGAGGGGCACGCGACTTTGCAGCTGTAGAGCCGGGTCCTTGGCTCACCTGGAGCCCCGGGACGCGGTAAGAGCTCCACGTGGCTCTCACGGGTCTCTGCGGCGCGAGTCGTAGGGGCCGCGCCCCCAGCTGTGCCAGGCTACCCAGCCGTGCTCCGAGGACGCGTGGGATTTTATTTTATTTTTTTTTAAAGGTTGATTGATTGAGAGCGCGCACGAGTGGGGGGAGGGTCAGAGGGAGAAGCAGACTGCCCACTGAGCATGGAGCCCGATGCGGGGACTGATCCCGAGACTTCCAGGATTATGACCCAGCCGAAGGCAGCCGTCCAACCGAGCCACCCAGGCGCCCAGACGCATGGGATTTTCGAGAGAAGAGCGCATGTGTGTAGAAGTTTTAAATTGCCAACTGTGCAGTATAGGGAAATTTCCGACAAATTTATTTGGTGTGTGAGATTCGCTAAATCAGTTAAATTTAAAACTGGAAATCACATGGAAGAAAGCACAGCTACTGTTTGTAAATCCAACACTCCCGCCACCAACACTCCCTAGGCCAATTTCAGTTCTCTTTCTAAAATGCTTCTTTCTGGAAGGTGGTCTACATTTGCACTAGGGATAACAAAGATTTCAACTAAACCCGAGAGGCGGTTTGTGGTGCCGGCCAAGACCTCACACACCTGTCACACATGACCTGTCAGAGAGATTGGAGATTCGTGCCAAGGGTCCAGTGAATATGAAAAGCTTGAAAACCACTGATTTGGGATAATACTCCTCTTTAACAGATTAAAAATCCTAGAGCCCCACTGAAAACTAATTGAACAGAGTTTCTCTCCATGAATTCCTGGAAAGGACATTTTAAAAAAGTGTCTTGAGTGAATCAAATATGCCATCCAGAGCTGAAAACCGCTATTGATTTGCCTGCCTCTTCTTTGTTGCAGATACAGATACTATTGTAGAATTGAGCTCTCAGGAACAATGAAGACTCCTGTGATTCCCAGGCAGCAGAGCCCGGATGGATAAAACCTAACTAAGACTGTAGCGTCCACAAGATATGGGTTCCAATCCTTGCTCGGACTCTCTCTGGTTGTGTCAACTCGCGGGTTTCTTTTTTAAGTATCAGAGTTACTATGCTAACTGTGACTTCTACTAGATGGCTTGAAGAGGTTCTTTCGCTGTTGTTCATTGACTAAGAGGTTCTAAAGGAGGTGGAATGGGGTTGAGGAGGTTACATTTAGGCAAAGTTACTATAAAAATGGGAAAGGGAGCTGATGAGGAACAAAGTGAAAGCTTGCTGATTGGACTTTAGAAATGATACATTTGTTATAGAAGAAGGTAGCAGTTATAAGATTTCCTTCAGGGGTACTGTGGCTGGAGACTGGAGAAATGTTGGCTTTGTCAATACTGGGGTGGAGATTGCAAGGGTTGTTGTTCCAGAAAAACAAAGGGGTGAAGTAGAGTTGAAATTCCGGTCCTTGGGATTCACAGTAGGTAGGAAAGGAAGGAAATTCAGAGGAGAACCAATCAGAGAATGGAGGTAGAGGGTACAGAGGACTGAGGGCTGAAGGTCTAAAACCTAGTGACTCAAAGTGTGGCCTAGGAACCGAGTTGACATCACCTGTAAGCTTGTTGGAAAGACAGGCTCCCTTGTCCCATTACAAACCTACTGAATCCGAATGTGAATTTTAATAAGATTCTAGTTAATTCATATGTACATTCAAATTTAATTTGCACTGGTCTAGAAGTAGCAAAGTCTTAGTATTAGAGTCTAATGAGAAATAAAGAAAAATAGAAGGTTGGTCTAATAGAATAAAACACTGAAGTATAAGACTTCAGAGGTGATCTTTCTAAGTATGACACCATTAACAGTAAAACCACAATAAAGAGGCTAATAATTTGACAACATAAAAAATGTATACCTTCTGTAAAGGAAAACTCAGCATAAATGTTACCTGAAAAATTACAAACTGGAAGAAAGAATTACTAGCTCTTACAAACCCAAGAATGGACAAAAGACATTAATTAGCAGCTCACAAAAGGAGTAATACAAATGACTAATAAACATAGTAAAAGCTACCAACCTGGTTAGCAATCAAAGAATTTACAAATTTAAAGGGCAAAATGATATGTTTTGTTTTTCACTAAGAAAGACAGTACTTGGACAAGATGTGAGGAAATGGCATTTCTGCTGTTTAAACGGTAATGTAAATTGATACAACACTTTTGGAGGACTATCTGGGAATAGATATCAACATTTAAAATATGTTGTTCCTTTCTAGGAATTTAAGCTATGCAGGTAATTCAAAGAAGTGCTAAGTTTATATATGTTAAGATCTTTATTAGCACCACTGTTTTTAATTATAAAAAAATAAATATAAATGTCAAATAATAGCAGATTGATTGTATCAGTGGTTCTCAACTGGGGCAAGATTGTCCACAGAAGCCATTTGGAATAGCTGGAAACATTTTTTTTTAAAAGATTTTATTTGTTTGTTTATTTATTTATTTATTTGAGAGAGAGTACGCAGGCTCACAGGGGCGGGTGGGGTGGGGGGAGGGGCAGAGGGGGAGGGAGAGGGACAAACAGATTATTTCGCTGAGCATGGGGCCTGATGCTGGGCTTGAGCTCAGGATCCTGAGATCATGACCTAAGTGGAAATCAAGAGTCAGATTCTTAACTTACTGAGCCACCCAGGGGCCCCTAGCAGGAAACATTTTTCATTGGCATGACTAGGGGAATGGTGCCACTGGCATGTAACTGGTAGATGGCAGGAATGCTACAAAACATCCTACAGTGCACAGTACAGGCCCCACAATAAATTATCCAGCCCCAAATGTCAGTGCTGAGGTTGAGACACCTTAAGTTAGATAAAGAATATTACATCCATAAAATAAATTATTTTTTAGCCATAATAATGATGATGTGGTCTGTATAGATTGGCTTGGAAAGGTAAATCATTGAGTGGCAAAAACCAGATTATAAAAGTAAAATGAATGGTAAGATCCCATTTTGGAAAGCAAAGAAAAAACTATTCCTAACAGCAAGTTTAAAAGGTTGCAAAAATGCTGAGTGGTATGCTCTGGATTGCAGTGTTTTGATTCTCTCTTTTGAATCTTTCTGTATTTTCTTTTTTTTTCCCCAAAGATTTTATTTGACAGAGAGAGACACAGCAAGAGAGGGAACACAAGCATGGGGAGTGGGAGAGGGAGAAGCAGGCTTCCCACTGAGCAGAGAGCCCGATGCCGGGCTCGATTCTAGGACCCTGGGACCATGACCTGAGCCAAAGGCAGACCCTTAATGACTGAGCCACCCAGGCGCCCCTGAATCTTTCTGTATTTTCTGAAAAAATTTTCCGGCAAATGTGTTACTTCATTTAATCAGAAAAACAAGGCATTTTCATCTAAAAGCAGAACAGAGCAAAAAGCACAGAAACATCTGAGATGAACAGTTCTGAATGAATGCAATATCTAAAATTCTTTGTACTGAATTACAGAAGTGAAGAAGTGAATTACAGAACTGGAAGGCCATTGGAAATGAGATATGAAGGAACTGAAAAGGGAGAGGGTAGATCAGTCCTGCTCGAAAAATGCTGAAGTTCCCTGAGTTAGCAGCAATTGGAACAGAGGGAAAGACATAGCTATGGTCTAAATACCTCAACAGTGGTCAACAAGAATGAGAAGAGAAGTGTCACTAGATTTTGTGATCTTTAAGCTTTTTTCTTCTTCCAAAAGTGTCACAAGAAAATATGAACAACGTAAAAGAAATTTCTGAAACCTACGAATTCCACTTGTCCAGAAACAACCATTCTTAAAACAAATTTAGGTATCAGTTGGTCCTCTAGCATTGCATAGTTGTTTCTATTTCACTATTATATACAGAACACCCGTAATCATTCTTAGAGCTAAATCTTTGAGCACATCCTTATCTTCTTAGGATCGATACTTAGATAAGCAATTGCTAGGTAAAAGAGCATTTATATTTTTAAGATTTTAAATATTTTTAAATATTTAAAATAGTGCCAAGTTGTACTTCTATAAAATGTCAAAGTAAAATTTCAAAATGTTATAAAATAATTCTCATACAAATATAGTTAAACACAGGTCGAGTTTTTAACTGTCGAGAAAATCAGCAGTAAACAAAGCTGATTTAAAGAAAGATAAGAGAAGGGACGCCTGGGTGGCTCAGTTGGTTAAGCGACTGCCTTCGGCTCAGGTCATGATCCTGGAGTCCCGGGATCGAGTCCCACATCGGGCTCTCTGCTCAGCAGGGAGTCTGCTTCTCCCTCTGACCCTCCCCCCGCTCATGCTCTCTCTATCTCATTCTCTCTCTCAAATAAATAAATAAAATCTTTAAAAAAAAAAAAAAAAAAAAGAAAGATAAGAGAAATAATGTGCATACATCAGTATAAGAAAATACTGAAGTCATTCTAAACTATTGCTAAATTGCTAAATTAGATAAAAATCTGATTAATGTCCTACAGAACATTAAACTATTACCTTTGGTGCTATCCTCTTTACAGAACAAATTATGAGCATCTTAACAATTTTCTACAAATTAACAACTAAATTTCTTTTTTTTTTTTTTAAGATTTTATTTATTTGACAGAGAGAGACACAGTGAGAGCAGGATCACAAGCAGGGGGAGTGGGAGAGGGAGAAACAGTCTTCCCGTGGAGCAGAGAGCACGATGCGGGGCTCGATCCCAGGACCCTGGGATCATGACCTGAGC